CCAGTGCAGGAATTCTCATTAACACCCCAATGGATGATCAGGGTGGTAGGCTAGACCTAGAGTGAGGCTCCCAGCTCCCTAGGTCCTAGAACATGCATTGTTGATTTACGCTGGAGTTGTGCCTACTCAGCAGGCTTCTGCAAGCACGCGTGCATCCAGCTGCACAGGTCCCCAGCTGCACCCCACCCCAGTCTCTCCTGCCTTCAAAGGCTTCATCCTCCCTTCACTTCCATGTCTGCCTCTAACTGTCCTTCCAAGTCCTAAACCCATGGCTTCAGGAAGAAAAGTCACTTATTCAATATCCGGCCCTCAGTATTTACTTCTCCTAGCTAAACTTGTTTCTCCCCACTAGACTGTAAGCTTCCTCTTGCTGACAGGAACTATGACTCTATTTAGACTGCAGCACTTACAACAGTCCCTAGTATATCGTAATCACTTCATGCTTGTTCAAAGAGTAACTGAATAAATAAGTAAACATGTTTCTCTCTCTCTCTCTCTCTCTCTCTCTCTCTCTCTCTCTCTCTCTCTCTCTGCTTTTACTTTTATTCATTTTTATTTCATGCTGAAGTTACTCTCAGGCCATAAGTTTTTGTTTCTTCAGTTTCTGCTGGGATATCCTTTTCTTCTGTGCAGCTTCCTCTTCTGGTTTAGGAACCACCTGCTCTTTCTCAGGAAGGATCCTCAGTGTGGCAGGGGGAGCTCCTGTAAGGGGTAACCCGCCCATGAGCTCTGTAAGTTCTGCGCTGCATCTTGGGAGCTTTGTTCACCTGGATGTGCTCAAGGACCAGAGAGTCTACATCTAAACCCTTAAGTTCAGCATTGCTCTCTGCATTTTTAAGCATGTGCAGCAAAAATTCAGCATGCTTTTTGGGCCACAATCCTGTGTCCAGCCCCACTGTTAGGCCTGGGCAAACCTACCGACTTCACCATTGTAACGACGGAATGGCACGCACTGCTGCTTTAAAGTGACATCTTTCAGGTGGTGGTGACTTTTCGAATCTGCATCCCCTTGATGGCCAGGGCAGTTTCACGAGTGTTCTTAAAGTGAACACGAAGATTTGAACCTCTTGATTTGCATGATTATGTGGGGTTTTCTGGGTCAAGTGAATAGCAAACCATTTTCAGAGGTCACCTCTGGCTGCTTTGGGGAAGAGCTCTCTCCTTTTTAAGGAGTTAAAGGGAACATTTATGGAGTGCTTACAGTGTACCATATTTTCTTTTTTTTTTGTTAAATTTATTATAGTGACATTAATTAATTGGATCATATAAGTTTCAGGTATAGATTTCTATGATGTAAGATCTGTATATTGCATTGTGGGCCCACCACCCAAAGTTAATTCTTATTCTGTCACCATATATTAGGTCCCCTCCACCCTTCACCCCCTTCCTCTGGCAAGCACCACACTGCTGTTTGTGTCCATGAGTTTCATTTTTTACTTCACATGAGTGAAATCATATGGTTCTTAGCTTTTTCTGACTGACTTATTTCACTTAGCATAATATTCTCAGGGTCCATCCATGTTGGTGCAAATGGCAGTATTTTGTCCTTTCTTATGGCTGAGCAGTATCCATTGTGTATATGTACCACATCTTCTTTATCCAGTCCTCTATCGTAGGACACCTTGGTTGTCTCCATGTCTTGGCCACCGTGAATAATGCTGCAATGAACATAGGGATGCATATGTTCATGCAAATTCATTGGGTTTTTCAGGTAGATATCCAGGAGAGGAATTGCTGGGTTATATGGTAACTTTATTCTTAATTTTTTCTTGATTTATGCTGGAGCTGTGCCTACTCAGCAGGCTTCTGCAAGCACGTGTGCATCCAGCTGCACAGGTCCCCCGCTGCACCCCACCCCAGTCTGTTTCGCCAGACTGTTTTCCATGGTGGCTGTACCAGTCTACATTCCCACCAGCAGCGAACGAGGTGAACATGTTTCCCTTAATGGACATTGTATGAGTGAATACAATTAACTTTTCTATAATGGTTTTCTTTTCTGTCTCAATAATATTATTTCCAGAATAGAATTCTTCCCAGAATAGAATGAGCCCATTTCTGAAATAATACTCAAGTAAGGTTCTGAATTATAAAATATTTACACAGCTTAGTCATATATTCACCTCTTTAAAGGATGCAGCCCTACATGATTCACGTTTATCTTGCCTGCATTTTTCAACTGCTTTTGTATATGGGCAATTCTTGTTTTATTTACTAGCTCCCACCATCCACTGCCTTCGGTAGTCTTAACTGGAAGAAGGAATACATCTTTGTATCATTTCGTTCAGATTTTATCACTGGCTTAACTATTGACTACCTGCTGACCAAAGGTACAGATCCCTGTGCAGATAGTAGTTATGTTTGATGACAGAATTCAGGTCCCCCAATTCTGGGAAAATGGGACTCCTAGGCAGAACTAAGGGTGAAAGCAAAAATGCAAAATAATAGTAATAAAAATTTCAGTACAAGGTACAAAATGAGGAAGGTGACAGTAAAGGTGAAAAAGCTTTGAGCTCATTATAGCACTGTTGCCTTTGGGCTTTAAAAAAAGATTCTTAAACCTCAGCCTCTTCGTCTGCAAAATAGGAATAATTCATTCAAATATGTATTAGGTATTAGGAGTATTCTAAGAACTGGGGATACAGTAGTGAACAATACAAAGCACCTCTCCTCACTGAGCTTACATTCTGGGAGAGGCGATAACATGTAGCTAGTGATGTATGCTTTGAAAAGTCAGAGCGCTCAACAAAGCACTTACACTAGTACCTGGCATTTCTATAGCCAAAAGGTGGAAACAACCCAACTGTCCATCCACTGATAAATGGATAAAAATGTAGTAGTACCATACAGTGGCTATTAGCTATATATATAAAAGGCTGATATGCAAAGTGTCCCCGAGGGAATTTGACTGGGAGACTGGGAGTTCTATCGCCCTCTATGACGTGCGCTGGCAGGGGGCGGGGCGGAACGAAGATAGGCCCTGGCCAGCAGCTGGAAGGCTCTGATTGGCCCTGATTGCCAGTCGGGCCTAGGGACCCTACCCATGCATGAATTTCATGCATTGGGCCCCTAGTTCAGGTATAAGAAGGAATGAAGTACAGACACATGCTATAACTTGGATGAACCTTGAGGACATTATGCTAAGTAAAACAGACACAAAAGTTCACATCTTGTCTGATTCTTTATAGTGAATATCCAGAACAGGCAAATCCATAGGGACAGAAAGCAGATTAGTGGTTGCCAGGGGCTGGGAATAGGAGATGGGGTGATGGCTCAATGGGTATGGGGTTTTCTTTTGGGATGAAAATGTCCTAAAATAGTAGTGATCTTACACAATACTGTGAATGTATTAAATGTCATCAATGGTTCATTTTATTATATATAATTTACCTGACATAATATCAATAGTACCTGGCACTCAATGTTATATTATTTCATAGCAAAACAAAATCACTCAAGCCCTGGCCAGTGTGGCTCAGTTGGGTGAGCATTGTCCTATACACCTAAAGATCACTGGTTAGGGACACAGACACTGGGGTGATGAAGGCCTGGAGCGGGTAATGAGGGTAAAAGGGGGACATATGTAATACTTTTAACAATAAAGAATTATTAAAAAAATAAAAACATTAAAAAAAAAGATCATGGGTTCGATTCCCAGTCAGGGCATGTACCCCCTAGGTTGCAGGTTAGATCCCCCGTTGTCATGCGTGTGGGAGGCAGTTGATCAATGTGTCACTCTTGAGTGGATGTTTCTCTCTCTCTCCCCCTATCCCTTCCTCTCTCTACATATCAATAAAAGCATGTCCTACGGTGAAGATTTTTTTAAAAAATCGCCCAAATAGGAAATTACCTATGTTAATAAATTATTAAATATATTTTTAATTATTGGAATGCTATGCAGCCTTTGAAGAGAATGAACATGATCTAGAAGTACAAATATGTAAAGATGTCCAAGATATAGTTGGTAAAAAAAATAAATAAGTAAAAGCTAAAGATCAGCATATACTTGGTATTTGTTAAAATACACATGCACAGCTCCACCGGTAGTGGTTGACTGGCGACCTATGAACCAGGAGGTCATGGTTCGATTCCTGGTCAGGGCACATGCCCGGGTTGCGGGCTCAATCCCGTGTGGGGCGTGCAGGAGGCAGCCAATCAGTGATTCTCTCTCATCATTGATGTTTCTGTATCTCTTCCTCATCCTTCCTCTGAGATCAATAAAAATATATTTTAAAAAATTCACAAGCACACACATGTTTATATATGCCTAGGAAACAACGGGATGTGAATATGAAAACAGTGGTTACTTCTGAGGTAAATAGACTGGTCGTGAGTGGGAATTTTTTTGGTACACATTTTGAAGTTTTTAGGTGAGCTTAGAGTTGAGTGTGACATAGCAGTCAAAAAAGCATTAATATGGCATTATAAGAAATACAGAATCTTGAAGGAGGGAGGTCATTACTAAAATTGAGAAAGAAAATGTATTGGCTTCATACACCTTATAGAACTCCACTTGTCACATTCTCAGTGTAAAAATCCTTCTTTAATACCCGAGAGCAGTCTCTGCAGGTGGTCAGAGACACGGCAAGTTCTTGTGCTTCCCAAAGTGGGGAGTCTACCACAAGTGCTCCACAGATATTTGCTCAGTGTTCCTGAGGTCCCAAATAGCCCAGCTGGTGTGGCTCAGTGGTTGAGTGTCGACCCATGAACCAGGAGGTCATGGTTCAATTCCCGGTCAGGGCACATGCCTGGGTTATAGGCTCGATCCCCAGTGTGGAATATGCAGGAGGCGGCCGATCAATGATTCTCTCTCATCACTGATGTTTCTATTTCTCCCTCTCCCAAACCAATAAAAAAAATTTTTTTTAAAGGGTAAGGCATATAGTATCTTAAGCTTTTGTGCAAACTTTCCCCTTAACTTGTTAAAGCATGTCTTTAAGAATGAGATCAATATACAAGCTTCAGACCACGGTAAGAAAATCCAGCCACAAATCTCAACTCTTAAAAAAAAAAAAATCATTTTATTGATCCGATACCATACAAAATTTATTCAAATTACACCCAGTTGAAGTGGTAAGATCACAGCTAGAGAACAGGTTACCCTGTAACAAATCTATTTACAAAATCCATCATAAAAGCTTTTTTTTTTTACACTATATTACACATTTTCTTTTTTAAACTAGCATACAACACAAAGCTAAACTGATTAGTAGTTTGCCTTCTCCCAATTTTGGGAGAAATATTTCCCTTTGACAAAATCGTGTACCCCATAGGAAAAGAAACTCCCACAATCTGACAAGTGCCGCCTGACTGACTCGACAAGGCCTCTTCCTTCAAACCTCTCACGCGCCCGAGTTGCCGTGCACACGCTGAGTCCTTACTTCTTTTTCCTGAAAGCTAAAGCTTTAAATACTGCAATTCTATTTACAGATCTACACTTGAAACAAAAATGAAAACAAGACCACAACAAAAAACAAAAACAAAATATAACACTCTTAAAAAATTACAAACCAGCTAGAAAATATTCTGGCAGTGTTTACAAATTAATTGCTATCTTTGTACAAAATTGCTAGATAATGAAAATGTGAGTAGACTACATATCAACTTAAATAAAACAATTGCTATGCACAAGTCTGTACATATAAACACACACCTTAACACTGTTTGACAGCTCATGTGTTGCCCTTTATACAGTTTATTTTCTAAGGCTCACGCAGTCATAATTCGCACACTTGTAACTTTTAGCCATTTCATGTGTGAGCTTTAATAGCAGCAACTCAATGGTACCAGGAAACCGGCATACTTTGAACTTAAAGTAACACAAATACTGGAGAACTAACCCACTTTGTGTGCCGGATACTATGTTAAAAAAAAAAAAAAAAAAGACGAATGCAAACAACAAAGTATGGACATTTCATTAATGGACCCCAGTTAAGCCCATTAACTGGAGAAATCTTATGCATGAAGGAACTTTTAAGACTTATTAGTATTCCTTTCATTTTAAAACAATAAATACGGCATAACATTACGAAAGGTTTAAGGAGAAATTCAACAAAACACACAACAACCTAGCCAGGTGAGCTCAGTCGTTAGACTTTGGAAAAAAAATTAGCTTTGTGCAGCTGGCAGAGAATTACACAAAGCTGGAAGCAGAGGCAGCTAACCAGATGAGATAAATATGGGACATGGGGAAAAGCTTGGCATAAATGGTTTCCTATCCAGGAAAACACCCCACAGTGCATTTCCAGTAGGCACTTGACACAAAGCGCTCCTCCCCTCCCCCACCCCAAAGCTTCATCTCGGACCACATATTTGTACCAAGTCCAGTGTGTGAGGGGAGGAGGCTGGGGATGGAGGCTGAAGAAAAAGGAGGGTAATCTGCACCTTTGTTTTTCTTCCCAAACACACATCCACGCATACCTACACAAATCGTTTAAAGTGCTGGTGTCATGGTTTTGACCCCCACCACCACTTTGCATATTGTGGAACTCTACCTAGAGTAAACTGGCTGGGGTGTTCGTAGTTGACCGTTTTGTATTTTTCCTAAGGGATATTTTCAATTCAATTACACACGTGAATAGAGTGCCTACTATGTGCCTACCAGTGAGCCAGGCACATAGCATTTCAGTTTCTCTGTTCCTGTTGAGGTTGTTTTTTTTGTTTTGTTTTGTTTTGAAATAAGACTCCCTCATCCCCGTGGTCTTTAGCATCCAAGGAATGGATTTGAGGTACTAAGTCACATTCCCGGTGGGAAATGGCCACCTCCCCTGGCCAATGGGAAAGCCACTCTTGGACATAACTGGTAGGATTTGCAACTGACACGAAGCCTCCCACCTGGGACACCATTCCTGAAGAGGAAAGTGGGAAAACACCCCGGCATTCTATCGCTTCATTTTCTACGCCCGCACTTCCCTGGGTCCAGCTTACTCCTTCATAGGGGAAGGGGGACAGGTTGTGGCCAGGGGCATTGCAGCCCTCCACAAAGCGGGAGCTCCCTGGGCTCACCAGCCTGAGTAAACGCCACTGGTAGAATGCCACTCACACAATGGGATGCCTTTCTCCCTGTAGGCCTCTCCATCTGACCGCATCCTGAGAAGTGGTCTCCCTGAGTGCAGTGTAAGAGAGCCCTTTCCCCGGTCACGGGGCCCCGGGAAGCCCAAGGACGGAGGGACCCACACCCGCTGTTCCTTGGGACGGCTGTATCACCTGACCTGGCCCTCCTTTCAAAGGGGCCACCAATGTCAGCGAGGACAGACTCGCTCCCAGCTCCCCTCCTGGGAAAGGAAGCCAAATGGGGCAATGCTTCTGCAGAGGCTGTTAAACCTTAGGTCACACTCGTTCAGATGCTCGGATCAGAGAGATTCTCTATCTCTGCTTAAATAATTTGAATGAGCAAAAACCGCTTCAAAGTAAACAGTTAAACTGTAATGGTGATGGGTGCCACAGGAATGCTTAAATGGCAGCTAAAAAAAAAATTAAAAAGTCTAAAACAATCCACAAAGAACTCCTCAGTAGGCATTTGCTACAAATCAACTTTAAACTCACAAACATGTTGGGGGCAGGGCAGTGGGAGTGGTTTATGGAGACAGGAAAATCCACAACAGCTTAACAGTGGCAGATCTCAACTATTCTTCTGTATCTGCAACAAGTCTTCTGTATCTGCAACAAGTATTCGAAAACAGGTTCTTCATCCGAAGGCTGTTGGAGGTTCTCTTGACCTCCAAGTTGGACCCATGGCCCATAGCTTACACTGAATCATGACAGTAATTTAAATATTCCTAAGAAGAGCTGAAGACATCCGTTTCATACTTTTGCATGACTTCAAGTTTACAGTTCCTGCAGTTCCATTCCATATTAGCAGACCCCAAAGACATGCATTCTGCAGAGAAGGCACGGCTTGAAATGCTATTAAGGAAGATTGCTGTATTCCAGTGGCCCAGGTGGCCAGACCCCATTCTACAGCCCATCCGTCAGGCACAGCAAGCCAATCCGGGAGGGAGGGAGGGAGGAAAGTATGGGTGAGAGACACCTGATTGCACATTTTCTCACTTGCTGACTCATCCAGGAGATTTTGGAGCCTGGGGCAAAGCAGGGTTTTCCCAAGGGAGCCTGCAACTGTGCGTTTAGACAATTTATATATATATAAAAAAATTCGTTAAAATGTCAGCTTTGTTCTGAAGTCTGTAGTTTACTTCATGATACTATCTTGGAGGAAGAAGGTAGGAAGGGACAACACTGCATGACAGATGTTCTGGTTCCATAATAAAAAAATATTGGTTTATAAGGAGTTCACAAAGCATAATCAACTACACATGAAGTCTTCCACCAGCGGGAGCTTTTCCAAATCATAAGCGTCAAAGAGATCGCTGATGCCTTCTTCCTCCCCGAGGCTTAGGAGATAGTCTTCTTGGAGCAGGGGAGGCAGTAAGTTCACAAACGGTCCTTCTAGGTTGGAAGGAATTTGGTCCTCAGTCTGCTGTAAAAGGTTGGCTGGGGAGGCCAAAGGAGAAAGGCTTGCCATAGAAACTGAGCAATCACTATGTCCTGAGTTGGTTGAAACCAAGTCTGAAAGGAAAAAAATTGGTGGAAACACAAAAGTAAGTTAGAATATACAAGTTGCTGTTCTGAAAGCTCTCACCCCCTGCTAATGACAATTAGACAGCATTGTGATACAGATCACCTGTCGGCAGTCTCTAGTCGCTCACTCATCTTTTAGGACCTACTATTAGCAAAAAGAATTTAATTAGCTCCAAAGATTAGAGGTTAACAAGTTAAAAAAAACTTCTCTCTGATTATCAACTGGTCATTATTTAAGGAAAAACAAAACAAAATATAAGGTAAAGACTATAAAGTTGGCTCCCTAGTAGAAATTCACTGATTTTTAACTTAGTCCAGCGGTTCTCACCTGTGGGTCGCGACCCCTTTGGGGGTCAAACAACCCTTTCACAGGGGTCGCCTAAGACCATCGGAAAACACATATATAATTACATATTGTTTTTGTGATTAATCACTATGCTTTAATTATGTTCAATTTGTAACAATGAAATTTGGGGTCACCACAACATGAGGAACTGTATTAAAGGGTTGCGGCATTAGGAAGGTTGAGAACCACCGCAGTAGTTCCACCTTATCTGTGGTTTTGCTTCCCCCGGCTTCAGAATTACCCAGAGACAACTGCGGTCTGAAAATTTCAGAAATAAACAATTCCTAAGTTTTAAATTGCCACAGTTCTGGTAGGGTGCTGTCCTGCTCCATGCTGCCTAGGATGTGAATCATCCCTTTGTCCAGCATCTCCTCACCTTAGACACTCCCTGCCTGTTAGCCACCTAGGAGCCTTATCAGTTACCAGATGGACTGCTGTGCTGCCGCAGTGTGACGCTACCTCCCAATGCCTATGTCATTCTCCTCACTTCATCTCATCATGTAGGCGTTGTATCATTTCACATCATCACAAGAAAGCTGAGCACAGTATTCAGTAAACGATAGTTTGAGAGAGACCACATTCACATAACTTTTATTACAGTATATTGTTATAATTGTTCTATTTTATTTGTTATTGTGGTGAATATCATACTGGGCCTAATTTATTAATTAAGCTTTTCTATAGATACCTATGTATAGGAAAATACAATCTATGCAGTTGAGCCTTGAACAACATGGGTCCACTCATACTCAGATTTTAAAAAAATACTCGTACTTTCTTCAATCCACAGCTGGGAGTCCATGAGGTCCTGCAACCAACCCTCCGCATACTGAGGGACAATTTAAGATTTGGGGGCATCAAAAGTTATAGGTGGATTTTCGACTTTGTGAGGGGGTCAGAGCCCCTGACCCTATCATTGTTCAAGGATCAACTGTATAGGGTTCAGTACTATCCCAGTTTCAGACATCTATATTTTTTTGCTCAGTATTAAGTCAGACCTGTTCACTTAAATCACTGCTATTCTTGCTGCTATATTGGGAGGTGGGGGAAAAATGAAACACACATACTGAAAAAAACCCCCACGAAGAGCTTCCTTTGCTCCAGCGACAGTGCAGGAAGAAGTCAGATTTGTTTGGTTGGGGGTTTCCTTCCATATCCTCACCACAATACACTGGGGGGGAGGAAGGGGAAATTAAGACAAAACTTCTTTGATAGAAGGCTTTTCTCTCCAAACACTTCTCTCTCTAAGGATCTCTGTAGCATCATGGAAAGGTGTGTGGCCAAGGATCGCTGATGATTCACTCAGCTTCACTCCCCACTTCGGTTGGGTTTCCAAACACGGTAAGGAAATGGTTTCTGCCAATAGCCAAATCCTGAGGGACTCCATTCGTGGGTGGAGGAGTCATTAACCCAAGGTCATTATTTGATTCTGCAAACTAGTGAGAATGCCTTTAAAAGAAAGTTCCCCTCATAACAATAATAACAGAAGATTTTGTGTCTTGCCTAGACTTGTAGTTCTGATACAGAATTCTTCTAGCCTGGCCGGCATAGCTCAGTGATATGGTCACCTTCATTTTTAACATAGTTTTCAAATGACAAATACAAGAATTGTTACCTTTGGAAGTGGGTTTAGAGATATTCCCATTGTGGTCTTGGTTGTTTGTTTTCATTGGACTGTGTGTTTCAGTCTCTTCTGGACACAAGTAAACCTCAATGGGCCCTTGGGTACTTGCCAAGTGTATTTGCAGGCTCTATGAACAGAAACGAGTGAGGAAGGTTCAAAATGAAAGTTCTTTTGGAAATGAAAACAATAGTAATTTTCATCTAAAAATGTGAAATAAGGGTAGTTTTCTTAGTTCATTTTGCTTTGTCACAGCTAGTCTACCTGTACCAATGACTGCCATCCCCTAGAGGACAGGTCAGCAAACTATAGCCCAAGGCCCAATCCAGTCCACAACTGATTTTGTGAAGAGTTTTATTGGCACAGAGTCACGCTTACTCCCATTATTGATGCATGGCCTCTGGCTAGGTGTTTTTTTTTTTCTCACGCAGAGTTGGGCAGTGAGCAGTCCCAACAGAGACTGTACGGCTCACAAAGCCAAAAATATTTACTGTCTGGCCCTTTAAAGAAAAATTTGCTGACCCCTGCCCCGGAGAAGGTGAATTATGCTCTCTAAATATATTAAAAAAACAAAAAAGCAACACACAAACTATTAAAGGGTGCTTTTAGTGTTCCAAATACAATATTTCCATGTTGTTATTCCTTTACGGTAGGGCTTTTTTAGTGTTGAACTTTAATAACCACTGGAACGGAGTTTAATAAGAGAATGCAGCACACTAATATTTAAAATTCCTCTTCATCTAGGTCATAGAGCTATTATTATCACTTAAGGTGAGAACTCTACCCTAGATGAGAGCTTGCAAATTTCATTCTCTTTTTACTTTCTATGCATATTCTTTTTACTACATTTCTTTAACTTAGAGTTATAGTCTGGGCCTCTTATTAAACTACATCTGAAACCAATCACAAAAATACGCACCCTACTTTCTTACAACATGCTAGCCTATGAAACAAACCAAAGTCCCATTTCATCTCTTAAAAGTAAACATGATATAAATGATAAATTCTGAAATGTGCTAAGTTAGGGAGATACTTTACAGCAATTCTGTCTCTTTTGTAGTGGGAATTATATTTAGAGTAATCAACATAAATTCTCCAAAATTTCAAATTGATTGGAACCAACAAATTATGAAAAAAAGAAAGTACAAGAGGAACAGGCCATTGCATACCACCTTGAGCTGAGTGCCCTGCTTTGTTAAAATTAGATCTTTTGGACACACAATATATATTGATCGGTTGAAATGTTTTTAAAGTTAGCATTAAGTAAAATAGAAAAAGAACTAAAAAGAACTTTCTAGTTTACAGGAGGATATGAACTTTAACCATGAATCAATGATTCTTCAACTTCAGGCATTCCAGAAAGATCTCTGCAGATGAACAAAGACATCTCCTTACCTCTATTGGGTCAGGCACTTCAAGTCTTGTTTCTGGAGGGGCTTTCACAACTATAACAGTTTGGTCTTTAAGGCCACTAATTTTTCGAATATCTTGATATGTAGCATAAGCTAACGTAACAAGTGTTAAGGAAATCTTCCAACTAATTGCCTCAGATAACCATTATGAGATTAACAAAATAGACGCATGGAAAAATTTTGAAGTATTTTATGATTTATAAGATTATATCTGTTTTGCCTTCTAGATCTTTAAATATATGGGATCTTCCACGAATCTTGTTTTCTGGGTGATATTCTAAACAACAAAAGAAATGCATACCTTTTTCCTGCCCGTTTTTAAAAAGTCCATAGCTTAAAATATTAAAATAAACACAGAAACAGCAAAGTTAATTTAACAAAAGAAAACCAAGGCCCGGCTGCGGTGGCTCAGTGGTTGAGCATCAAACTATGAAACCAGGAGGTCATGGTTCGATTCCCACTCAGAGCACATGCCCAGGCTACAGACTCAATCTCCAGTAGGAGGTGTGGAGGAGGCAGCTAATCAATGATTCTCTCTCATCATTGATGTTTCTATCTCTCTCTCCCTCTTCCTTCCTCACCGAAATCAATAAAAACATTTAAAAAAATAAAAATATTTTTAAAAAAATAAAAGAAAGAAAACCAAGACCCATTTGGTCCAGGATTTTCAAACCAGGTTCCTCTGGAATGCAGATATTCCCTGAGTTCCCATGAAGTATGCTATTCAAATCGAATGATGGCAGAACCCAATTTACAGGAAAATAATTTTAAGCTCTATTAAACATAGTTTTTGTAACTTCCAAAAACTTCTATCTTCTACTTGACTACTAGCAAGTGTCAGCAGTCACCCAAATGCATGAATGAATGAATTAGTAGCAAATAGATATATTAGTGGAAGAACTCAGAATACTGTGGAGGCAGGCAATATATTTTCTTAAGTGTACATGGGCTGGTTGTGATTATATATTAAGAGTGTCAGTCCTTCTTGGTTAGAAAAATTATCCTTTCTATGATATTATTAACTCTATCAATATTTCAGTGTTCACGAGGAAGAAAGTGGCTTCCAGATGGTCTGCAACCTGAATGAATATGAGAAACACTGATTTAGGAAAAGAGAGTAAAATAATATTCAGTACTCCTAGTTGTTACTTCTGAGCACTGAACAGTTCCTTTAAGGGCCTGGGCAGCCAAACCTACAAGGATGCCATGAAGAATATGGTACTTATTATATGATAAAAGTATCCATGCAAGCTTGCCTAGATAGACAAGCTTTTTACTTGGCACTAAGAGAGAACATGCCGCATGGCTTTCTTATAAGGGACATGGAGTAACATAATGTACAATGTCCTTACCCAGCAGTTAAAAAATGGTAATCCACCAAAAAAAATGCACATAACAAAACAGCACATCACAATTCAATGAAGGCATTGCTATGGGTAATATAATGTAGCTAACAGAGTCTATGATCTAACATGTTTAACACAGAAACAGGACTTAGTGAACCTAGAGAAAATAATATCCCTCAGAACAGTAGCTTTTTACTAGAAGTTGAAGGAAGCTATGAGCCCATTCATCGGGGGGAAAAGCACATCCACCCCAATCTGCACATACATTTATCACGACGACCTTCTTTAAATCTCAATAATTGAGACAACAGCCAATTAACTGGACAGCTCAAGCAGGATTCCAGGTTTTAGGTCACCATTTATCTCATCAAGAAAGACCACTGATACCGTTATAAAAGTGTTGACATGCCCTGGCTGGATGGCTCAGTTGATTGGAGCATTGTCCAGTATACCAAAAGGTTGCGGGTTTGATTCCTGGTCAGGGCGTGTGAGGGAGGCAACCGGTCCCTGTTTCTCACATCAATGTCTCTCTCTCTCTCTCTCTCTCAACAGAAACATATCCTCAGGAGAGGATTAAGAAAAAAGAAAAAGTCTTAGAACAGCTTTGAATTTTTACTGAGAACACTGGGAAAACGGATAACCAGGTACTTACACCATAGCCCACTGTCAAAAAACTATGTGACAAGAACTCAGTAAAATAAAAACTCATCTACAATTACTCAACATGCTGCAGGAAAGAAAATTTCAACACATTTGTGAACAAGCTGTACCAAATTTGGAACTGAATGGGAAATGGAAATAAATGGTGCAAACATATTCTCTAATCTTATAAACTTAAAAGTGCTTCCACGGTGGCTCCCTCCTGAATTTGCTTCTTGGGTTAGCAGCCCCCTGCAAGGTAGCTTTCATTCCCTGCAACAAAGGCTGCAGAGAAAGCTAATGTAGGTGACAATGCCATAAGCTACAAGCTGCTAGTCATTTGTAACTGCCACATCTCCTCGCTGGGGCTCCCAGCTAAACAATGAGTGAAAGAGCCCGACAGCCATTCTTGCTTCTTCCCCTGTCAGCCCACTCTGGCCACCATTAGGGGTTCATATCAGCACAACTCTTTCTCCATCTCACTAATCATCAGCTGACAAGGTTAATCTTTTGGTCAAAAAGAAATAAACAATTGCTGTTTCAAAAAAATTACCTGAATTGGAAAGTAAATGTCCCCGCACCCTCTAAGGGAAAGCCTATTGGAGAGGAGACACGAGAAGAAGGTGGGCAGGACACATTTTATTTCCTGTCTCACAAAGGTAAATGTGGAATAATCGAAGTCTGGAACTAAAATTAGAGATGGGGTAATTTAAAATATTGCATTTGTCTTCTACTAATAAGTGAGAACACTGAAAAATCTTCTTGCCGAAACAATGAAGCAATCTCCCTGATCTTTTGTCTGACGTGAGATGAACAGTAAGCTGTACTGAGATGGTCACCAGACTGTTAGCCTACAGAGAACAGGAATTGGCTTTCTGTATTTTTATTTCCAAGAACTACTGTTTGCAGATGAACAAATATATTGAGATTTCTTGGGCCTTGTGGTTCTTCTGAAATCAATTTCTGGTGTTGTGAATCAGCCTAATGCTCTCTAAAACTTATAGAATAATTTTTTATACTCAATTTCTTCAGCTATATAGCTCAATCAGACAGATTCAACAAATTCAATTGCTCCAATAGCTGATGAAAAGAAAGTAGAATGTGAGAACCCCAACAGTGACAGCTAACACCCACCCAAAATCTGGGAAGCCAAAGATGAATCTGTGGAATGTTGTCATTAATATTAATAATGGCACCATTCGTATCCTATAATAGTGTTGCCTTACGCAATGAGTGTACCATATGTATCAACCACACATGAATTTAAAAAGTTCCCTCCTTGCTGTAAAATAGACATAATAGATGATTATCTTTCCATAACTACTGACTTCTAATACAAAGTGGGTTCACACACACACACACACACACACACACCCCACGCATGTGCATAAAACCAAAGTAAAAGTCTACCTTGTGCATAAAAGTCAGATTGTTGACTCTGGAAATAGTCTAGAAAGCACTAACCCCCAATGACCAGGTGGCACAAAGGATATCTTTGATTCTCTGAATCCTCGGTTAACAGTTTGAGGTCCAGGGTGCAGCTTTGGATCAGTTCATCTAATTTCTTCTCTTCCTGACTGAGCTCGGTCACTTCCTTTGACAGGCCTTGACACTGGGCCAGCATGCCCCCATCCTCAGACAGACTGCAGCCCCTAGAAACCCAAACACAGACTCTTCATGGCTACTGGAGAGGCCAGCGGGAGGAGGGGAATGAACAAGCAAGGGCGGGCAGGGAGAAATGATCCTTTCGGGGAGTGTCCCTTTCTTGACATAGGAGGTCCCAGTGCTTGTTTGCCAAGTGTTAAAATTAGAACATTTATACATATATATTTTTTATACATATAGTCCTTCACTTTTCATACCATAGAAATTAAGTGAAAAAACACTACTATTTTAGCTTTCTTTCCTACAGAGGAGGCCCTGTGTCTGCAGAAGGCTCAAATTCATAGGGCAGAGAGGCAGCTCCTTCCTGCCACATGCCTCCCAGGGGTGGGGGTGGGGTGGGAGGTGGAAAGCAGGTAGGAAAACACAGAAAGATAGAACAATTTGCAAGAAAAGATAGAATGATTCAAAATTCAACAAAACATCATCCAACAAGCACGAAAGGCCTTGGTAATTTCTGCGGGTCTTATGCCAACATATGAAAAGGAAAAGCAGGTTAAGGAAACAGATACAGGAACTGAGACATTTGACACTTGCCTTAATTTATTCAGAAAGTGAGTTAATCTGCTGTGAGAACCATGGATAAAGATAGTTGGTGACTGTGTGTATACCGAGATATGTTAATACACAGCCATAGTTAATTTCCAAATTCCTGTTGGAGTTAGGACATGTGCAAGCATTTATGAGATTACACACATGGACTTCACCGTATCAAATGAACAGCATTCTACTTTACACCTACAGGACCCTAATTAATTCCAGGACCCCCCTGCTTGTAGCTAATGAAATAGAAACTCTTTTTTATCTCGGACAGTATCTAAATAGGTCTCTTCCTAAAGAGACTTTGAACTTGTGGCTAAGGAGTTGAGGAAGGAGAGAGAGGTGAGAGAAGAGAGTAGGAGAAGAAAAAAAATGAAGTGTGGGCATGAATGTGAAAGTTAGGATGGAGAGGAAGCTCAATGTTTGAATGGACCCCCATCAGAGCCAGGGAATGGGGTGGGGGTGCGACTCATACTCACATCCATTGCACGTTGTTTTTAGACTTCTTCTTAATGAGGTGGATGCCTTCCAGTACATTGGTGATATCATAAATCCTTCTCTTTTGCACTTTCAGCACCTCTGCTGCCTTGTTCAAATCCAAGACCCCATCAGGTGACTGGCTCAGGAGCTGAATGAACTTCTTGGTGAGCAGACCAAGTGATGTATCATACCGTGTTTTTTCTGAGGGAGATTTTGGAGCTTAAAGAAAAACAAAAACCGAGCGGGTGGGGGGGTAGGGGGAAAGGTAAAGAAATGAGGGGTTTCTTTGCAGTTGAGCAAGCCCCATCTCCCACTGCAGCCCAAGTATTAGTATCAGAAGCAAAGCCATTTCTGTCAAGTTACGTAGAAAGCTATGAAATTGCTTTATTAGAAAAGGAAGGGACAGTTAAAATTCCTGTTTGTGAATTTCTCAGTGGTTTCTACTTCGGTTCATCCTATTCCCTGGAGCTAGTAAAGTATCCCACACACAGTAGGTGCTCAAAAATGTCTGATGAACGAATGAGAAAGTGCTGTAGCCCCATGGGATCAGCACACGTGGAGTCTAACCCCATGGGGACAGGTGAGGAATCTCCCCAGCATTTCGTGCCGGGCTCAGACAGACCCACTTCAGCTGGCCTTTCAGGCTCCCGGGTTGTGTGTGTCTGTAACTTGTTCACCAGTGTATCCGATGATGCTTCATTTGGATGAAGACTTTCTGGACCCTGGAAGTGTCTTTCAATCGTCTCCCTATCCCACTTGAATAAAATTTCTTATTTAATATTGTGCCTATTCTCTTACAGGTCACAGGTCAAGGATTTAATGTAGCAGTACACACAATCTGTGGATTTTCTAATACGAAAACTACAGGAAAGGTGAGAACAAAGTCTAACGAGGCCAGAGACATAAAGGACTGGCTAGCCATCTCCGACCTACTTTCCTCTCTCCCAGAAGAAACAATGATCATATCAACGGAAAGGAAAACTAGCAGCAATTCATCGGGCTCAACCAATTCTTATGCTGCTTTATGTTGAGCTAGAGATTTAGACCGACACAGACATTTGCGACTCTGGCACAGTTCGTCTACACCCACTTAGCCTCAGTCTCTGAAATAATGTCCGTTAAAGAAGGTTAAAATTAAATGTGATTATAGAACGGAACAAGGAGCTTATATTCCGAGTTGAAAAATGAAACTGCACACATTTCAAGAGGCCTCCCCTTAGGTCAGTATTTAGGCACTGGAGTGACTCTGTGAACCTTTCACTGGGTGTCTGCAGACACTGTATTTACTTTTTGGATAGGCACAGAAAGAAATGACAAAGAACAAAACATGCCAAAGTTTCTCACACCTTGGCACCCTTCCAGCCGCAAGCTTTGAAAGTTGGGAGCCCACACCACAGAGAATCAGAGATGAAAGAATCCTTACTTTTGGGACTGTCTGGACTTCGCAGTGCAGCTCTCCCTTTGCCCTTTGGGGTTTTTAAACCATCTGAGAGGTACTGATGACCGCTTTCTCCTAGCTCCAGCCTTCGCTTGGCCTGGAATAAGAAAGTACAATCATTCGTCCCGGTCACATGGACAATCACAAGTGAGGCTGTGTGGGATCTGGCCCCTGCCCAGGGCTGCAGCCTCGTGCCTGCTCTCACACCTTGGCTCCGCTCGCTCAGGGTCTCGCCACTCCCCAAGCTCTCTCTTCATCTGCAAGGATCATCCGTACACACTCAGACGGACAAATCCGGCAGTCCTTTAGGATTAGATCCAGGCGCCATGCTGTTCATTTATTCACTGATCCAACACATGTGCCAGGCACGGGGCTAGATACTGAGAATCCAGCAGGCACCAAGGAACTGAAATAACTTTCCCCCAGTGAGCCTTTACTGCCTCTCCATCTCTGACCTGGGTTGGACCCCTTCGTTGTGCTTCCCCAAACACCCTGTGTTTATGTGCATCATAACACTTATGAGATATAAGAGTTATTTTACTAATCTGTTTCTCATTTCCTTTCAGGCAGGGACTGTTTCCCATTTATCTTTGTATATACCTAGTGCTCAGCACAGAGCCTGGGTTTCTATAGGTCTTCAATCTCTAAGTGATTGTGGTAACACAACTGGTCACAGACTACAGATGGTCATTCATCACAATAACAAATATTGCAAATACTCAATCTTGGGCTTCAAGTGGTATTATTTCCGCCATTTAGTCACTAAACCTGGCATTTAAATGAGAAGTCCTCATAAAAGTTTTAAATTTATATTCATTTCACTTTAAAATTCTCCACTTAGTGTCTTCTATGTACTGGGCACTGGATTTAGAGAACAGAGGTAAGGAAGATACTCTACCTAAGGCATAGAGTCCACAAGAGCAGAGAATTAAAGAAATCATTGTTGAGTATTAACTGTATGGGTGTGATGTGTGTTTCAGACAGATGGCCCCAACAAGACACTACACACAGCAATGTGTATTTAGGTTTATTTTAGGACAGGTTCTTCTAATGAGGGATTCACAATTTCAAAATAACTTCCCATGACACAGAAACGGAAGTAATAATTTATCGGCTGATGATAAATATTCAGCTTCTCTATGAATGTTGTCAGCAGTTTGTCTTGTTCACTACAGTAAGCAACTAGCCACACATGGCTCACTTGGTTGAGCGTTGTCCCATGCACCAAAAGGTCACTGGTTCAATTCCCAGTCAGGGTGCATGCCTGGATTGCAGGTTTGATCCCCAGTAGCAGGAAGTAGCTGATCAGTGTTTCTCCCTCTCCCTCTAAAAAAAAATCAATAAAAACATATCTTTAAAAAAAGATACGTCTTTGGAGAAATAAAATGCACATTGGATTTTGAAGACAGTACAAATAAAGGGTAAAATATCTTAATTTTAAAATTGATGACTTTAAATTGATAGTATTTTGGTTTTATAAAATAAGATAGAATTAAAGTTATTATTTCACCTCTTTCCTCTCTATTTACTGTGTGGCTTAGTTTAGTGGCACAGATTACCTTTCTATTGGCTAAACATTACTCTAAAGTCCTAAGAATGACAATTCACAAATTTGTTTTTTCAAACTGATTTCCCCCTCCCAAATACTGTCCAATCCTTGTGTGGGCCTGTTGTTATGTTTGGCCCAGGAAAATTCCCTCTTCACCAGGCAAATGCCCCCTGATTGTTCTTTGGGGAGTACCCCCCTACCCAGCCTAAGTGCACACAGGTCTGGTCAGTCACTGTGGTCCGTTCTCCCTTCCCTCTTCCCTTTACCCACAGTGGCTGGTTAGGGTGGCACATGACCAAAGCTGGGTGAGCCAAGGCCAACTCTAGGCCTTTTTCTGGAGCTGCTGGCAAGAAGGGGGGTATCTTCCCGGTAAAGCTGATAAGCTGGAAGCCAGAAGCTACCCGAGAATGGAGGCCCCGCAGGGGAGAGCAGTGGAGAGATGGAGGGAAAGGGGCCCCAGACTCTTCAGTTACATTAGTCAATAAAATTTCCTTTTTGCTTAAAGCACTTTGAGTTGAGAACCTGAAAGGGTGGTGTAAGCAACAGCCTGTGGGATTAGCTGAGTCTGGTGGGGCTGGCAAAACTGCTGGAGTGGCAGTTGTGTCGGTCACTTCACTCGAGGCTGGCTTACCTAAAAGTAGAGAAGAGCGTTGCCATGGAGGCCATTTTTCTCTGTAGAAACTAATCCAAGATAGAGAGCTATGTCCTCTGCCCATGCTAAAGTCCACAGAAGGAAGGCAAGTGGGAAAAGCATTTGGGGCCTGGAACTCGTGTGCCCCTAAGGCTGTATTCTCCCGAATCCACCACTGGCCAGCAGCCTGGGGAATATTACTTTTGCCAAAGGCCTATGGAAGCAGTAAACTGTGGGCTAGAAACTGAGATGGAACTTTATGAACCAGGACTACTCGTGATGTGTCCTGGTCACCAAGCACCGAATGTCAGAGTTCACCAAATCTAAATACTAGACAGAAAAATCTCCATTTTAAAGGCACTTGTATGGCCAGAGAATCTCTACATCTAGAAAGCAAAGGCCTATGAGGTCTCAGCCTCCAAGACAATCAACCACTGAAGCGTATAAATCTACACCAACAAGACCCAAGCTTTGTTTGAGAGGGTAGAAATCGAGGTGACCGTATTGACCCCACAAGCAAGCCACGTCTCCACCAAGTCTCCAAGTGCCAGCATTCCTGCTGAGGACATGATGTGCTACAGGAGGCAACCACTACGTATTCCTTTCCTTTTCCAAATGGATGTTTCTGTTGGGCTTCCCTGCTAGCCCTCCCCCACTGTTCAGTGAGCGGGAGTTGAACTGGACTTGCGAGGACACAGTACTTGCAGGTCCTAGATCAGAGGATGGGCGTAATAACTGGACTCTTTGGGGAAAGGCTAATAATTTCTACACATGCTGGAGTGGCATTACTTTAACTTATCAAACTCAAGCATACACGCTTGGTAAGACAAACAAAAAAACAAACCAAAAACTAGAAAGGAGGATTTAAACAGTCCAGGTAGTCTCTGCCTATACCCCCTGGCTCTGGGCTGAGCACCAGGGCAGATTAAAATCTATTCTCTTGGTCATCTTATTAAAAAAAAAAAAAAAAAAAAAAAAAGCTTATTGATTTTAGAGAGAGGGGGAGGGAGAGAGAAACATCGATGTGAGAGAATCATAGATTGGTTGCCTCCCCCAGACCAGGGGTCAAACCAACAACCTAGGTATGTGCCCTGACCGGGAATTGAATCAGCAACCTTTTGGTGCATGGGATGACACTCCAACCAACTGAGCTACACCAGCCAGGGCTCATCACAAGTTTTGGTTGCTCTTAGTGTGAACATCTTGCTGAAATGAGAGTTACCCTGTTTATAAACAGATTTTCATATTACATGCCCCCTACTAGTCAAGCAACTAATCTTTCTGGTGCTCAACAGAAGGCCCAGCCATTTGGTCTTAAGCAGGAGTCAAAGTTGGACATGAGAGATGCTGTGCAGACCACCCACATGGCACCTGCCTGGGATCTCAGCTCCAACTAAGATCACATTCCTCAGTAACGAACAGTGGCACCGTTAAGCCTTTCTGAAAACACATATATGAAAATAACAGGACTAATGGTCAGGCAGCCAAGCAGTGGGCTGTGGGGAACATCCAGTTTCTATCTGCCCCGCATTTATTGCCCCTATTGTTGTTGCTGGGGAAGGTTTCTATGTCTCCAAGCCTGAAAACAAAAGGTCTACTATTGCTCAACATCTTAAACTGACCCTTGCCATGCAGGTTACAAAGGTGAGGACTGTCATCTGGGCCTGCCAATCAGTGCATTCCATTCCCTTAACTAAGGTGACTAGTTTGGGGATGGGCCCATGAACAAAGAGGATGAATCAGTCAATCCTGGGATTTTTGTTGAAAAGTAGGGGGTTCTTTTCACTGGGAGTTATTAGGCAGTAGGGTGTAAGCCTGGAACTACTTGGCAACTGAGCCAACAGAGAAGAAAGCAGAGTTAAGACCTGGAAAGAGGCTGAGTCCCAACACCTTTGAGGGAGGTGCTAGATACAACCATGCTGAAAAGCAGTCCTACTGTAGGCTTTCACTTCTGTGAGCCAACAAACTCCCTTTTTTGTTAGAGGACAACTGAGTCAGATCACTACCACTGGCAACCAAGAGTCCACATAGACATGGCTCTTTAGTATTAACTATAACACAATTAACATTTGAGTGCTTATAGTATTTCATGCACTATGTTAATTGCTTTCCAAATGATTGTGTTATCTCATTTTCACACAACCTCATAAGGTAGTTTCTATTATCTCCTATTTTACAGGAGAAAAGTAAGGTTTAGAGTGTTTAAATAACTTTTCTAAGATCCCACAGCCAGTAAGTATGCCTACACCAAAGTCCATGCTTATAGCCACTTTATAAAAATGATTGTAAAAAATATTTGAGCCCAGCCTGTGTGGCTCAGTGGTTGAGAGTCAGCCCATGAACCAGGTCTCAGTTCAATTCCCAGTCAGGGCACATGCCCAGGGTTGTGTGCTTGATCCCCAGTAGGAGGCGTACATGAGGCAGCCAATCAATGATTCTCTCTCATCACTGAAGTTTCTAGTTCTCTCCCTCCCTTTAAAATCAATAAAAACATATTAAAAATATTTGAAGAATTTATTATATTGATACCATCTTACTTTATGATTGTATTTTAAAAAACTTTTCATTATTTAAAAAAACCCTCTCCTTTATTAATAAATGCACATTGTAACTCAAACAACACAACTGGGTATACACAGAAAGCATATTTAAAAATATATATATTTTATTGATTTTTTACAGAGAGGAAGGGAGAGGAATAGAGAGTTAGAAACATCGATGAGAGAGAAAAATCGATCAGCTGCCTCCTGCACACCTCCCACTGGGGAAGTGCCCACAACCAAGGTACATGCCCTTGACTGGAATCGAACCTGGGACCCTTGAGTCCCCAGGCTGATGCTCTATCCACTGAGCCAAACTGGTTAAGGCAGAAAGCATATTTTTCTCCTAATCTTAATCCCGAATTCCCTTCCTTAAA